GACCCACCTGGGGGCGAGGGCTTCTGAGTCGTGGCTCAGAAAATGTAAAGAAGAAAGGAACCAACAACCCCTCCCCTGCCCCCCAAACCCCAGCACCCAGAGGTGATCCTGACCTCCAAACACACAACCTACTGCCACCAAGCAGGGAATGCTTTCTGGTGCTGAAAGAACCTACTTGTACAAATGACTTACTGTCGATGGTGCTGCGGCAGGAGGTGAAGCCTCACTGGCCTGTGCCTGCTGGGCAGTGATCATCCTGGGCCGGTTTCAGGGAGAGCAATGGCTTTCCTTCTGTGGGAAGCTCTGTGTGCCATATGGAGCCTGAACTAGTCTCCCTTTTCTTTTCAGCCCTGGCAGAGAAAAATAATTGAAACACAAAGGTTATTTTAAAAATATATATGTGTGTGTATATATATACACACACACACATATATATGTATGTATGTATGTTTGTATTTAGATGGGGACTCAGAGTCACTGTGTTCCCCAGCTGGCCTTGAACGCTGCCTCTGTTGGAGAGATGCATCTGCTTTGGCCTCTGGAGGAGTGGGGACTATAGGCACTTGCCACAGCGCCCGGCCAACAACCTTTTTTGTTTTTGGAGACAGAGTCTCACTCTGTCACCCTGGGTAGAGTGCCGTGGTATCACAGCTCACACCAAGCTCAAACTCCTGGGCTCAAGTGATCCTCTTGCCTCAGCCTCCGGCCAGTAACTGGAACTACAGGTGTCCACCATGATGTCCAGCTAGTTTTCTCTATTTTTAGTAGAGGCAGGGGTCTTGCTCTTGCTCAGGCTGGTCTCAAACCCTGAGCTCAAGCTATCCACCTGCCTCAGCCTCCCAGAGTGCTGGGATTACAGGTGTGAGCCACTGTACCCAGCCTCTAAAGATAATTTTTTAAAGAGAGTTTTAGCTAATAACAACTTTTTTCATTTTGTTTTTCCCAGATATTGTTGCTAGAAAGGAACAAGATATACTTGTTTTTTTTAAGTTCATATTTTCTGTTCATCTTCCCCATTGGACAGGTGCTAATCAAAGAACCAGAGCACTGGGCAGGAAGGGCAGACCGCATAACCCAAATGGTGGAAGCTTCATAGTATAGCATTTACAGTTTTTCAGATTTAAAATTGAAATAATTTACAACCTTCTGCCCAACTCCACTGCGCCCCCCAAGGTGCGTGGAAGGCAGCGACAGCTCATGCAGCCACACATGTCACAGCTGCCTTTCTGGCTTAAACAGAGAGGTGTTGCCGCCTTCAGAGGAGTTAGAATGGGTCAAAATAGCAAACGGCCCTGTGGTTGGTGCATAGTGATTTGAACAGAATTCTGCATTGGTATTTCTATCACAGCACAAAGTCTGCGGGTTGCTAAGTGGATCGCCCTGGTGGCTTTCTCTGTATTGCAACGGCTTAATATGAGGCTCCGTCGCCAGTGAGCAAGATCCAGATGTGTGAGAATCTGGGGGGTCCTGTGAGATTCACCTGCATAGACCCACAGCCACATTGCAGCAGCCGGATGGGTAAAGCTGACGCTTTGGAACAGAGATTTCATGGCCCTGAGTCAGTGAAATTGTGTGCTGTAAGTGCTTTCTGCTTCATAGATAGATGAAAACATTGCCACCGTGTTCTCTATTTCTAAAAAGACAATTTTTTTTTCCTATTTAAAATTTTCATTTAAAAAAGATAAAAATGTTATTTAACTTTGGGTTGTTTTAGTCCTAAGCCTCTGTATTTCAAATATAGGAATTAGCATTGAATTTGTGATTTCTGTTATTTGAGAAAAATGAACTATGACTGAAGGTCGAAGGTTGTTATGGTTTCACTTTTGTTTTTGTTTTCCTATTTCCTCACTTTCACATTCCAACCTTTACTCTATAGCCACAGGGAGAGGTAGTGGATACACAAGGAGTAACAGCTGGGGGTGGTGCCTGGGGCTCAAAGGAGTAGGGCGCCCGCTCCACATGCCACATGCCGGAGGTGGCAGGTTCAAACCCAGCCCTGGCCAAAAACTACAAAAAAAATAATAAAAAGAGTGACAGCTGCCATTTAGTGAGCACTTACTACTCGGGAGACGCTGGGCGGAGTCACTCCATCCTCACACTCCTGGGGCAGGTGCCTGCTCTGGGAAAACTGACTCTGGAGTGAGGCAAAGCCACGGTCTGAACCTCGGACCCCCTGACTCCAGAAACCTGAGCAGGCTGCCCCATATGGGAGAAAGCAGTGCGTAGAAGCTTACAAAACATATCTTTTGCTCCTTTATGGCAAGATTATTTATGAAAGGAAAAGGAAGAATTTAAGCAATTGATGATCACGTCCTTTTCTTTCTCTCTTTTGAAGTAGACTTTATTTTTAAGAACAGTTTTAGATAAACGGAAAAATTAAGAAAACAGTTTTCTCATTTTGTGCTTCTTTTTTTTTTGCTACTATGTTAAAGGTACTGAATTTGCAGCATTTTCATATAGAGGCTTTTTTTAAAGTGAAGATTTTTAAAGTAAAGTTTAATTATTTCTGTAGTACGTGGTTTCATAACCAAGCTGTGATATTTTGTTAAGATTCCAAGGAGACGATGCCATTTTAAAGCTTTTATTCTATGGATTTTCCTTGCCAGTCTTCCATTTCTGCTCGGTCTGGTGTCCGGGAAGCAGAGTCTAGGACGACCAAAGTTGGGGACAACTTGGGATTTGGAGTCATAAGCCTTGGGTTTGAACCCCAGTTCTGCCACTTAACTAGCTGGGCAAGTCAACTTGTTTGTGAATCTCAATTTCTTCCTCGGTGAAATGAGATGATGTGAATCAGCTGGATCAGAAAAGGGCCCACTGTGAGCCGGAAGGGTCACCAAACTTGAGCCTTCATGAATGGTCCTCACACGTGAGGTGTAAATCGAGGCTGACATAATTCCCTATCTCTTAGGTATTCAAATAAGCTGTGTTCTCTAGAGAATAAACTAATGAAATTCAGTAGCATAATTGTTTAATTATTCAGCAGCACTGGAGAATAAACTAATGAAATTCAGTAGCATAATACCGGTTTGGGGATCTAGCAGACCCATATTTTAATCTTGCTTCTCCTACGTAGCAGTTAGTAACTCTGAATTTTTACTTTATACCGTCTCTGGTTTTCTAATTCCTTAGATCACAAATGGGATAACATCACCTAATTTACAGAGGTATTGAGTTTCATATTGTACATATATGAAGCATCTAATTCAGTGGCACCCACAGAATAGACCCCAGTATTATTGTAGTTCCTTCTGTAGCCTTAGACACTCCCTGGGTTCTTTCCTGAGAATGTTCTTTACCTCCTGAAGCTCTTCTGTTAAAAACTCTTAGCAAGCCAGGTGTGGTGGCTCACTCCTTTATTCCTAGCATTTCCGGAGGCTGAGAGAGGAGGATTGCTTGAGGCTGGTTGGAGAAAAGCCTGAGCAAGACTAAAACCCTGTCTCTACAAAAATAGAAAAGTTAACTGAACGTTGTGGCAGGCTCCTGCAGTCACAGCTTCTCTGGAGGCTGAGACAGGATCGTTTGCACCAAGGTGTTTGAGGTTGCAGTGAGATCTGATGACACATCATACTCTAGCCTGGGGGACAGAGTGAGACTGTCTCAAAAATAAATAAACAAATAAATGAAATAAAATACTTTTAGCAGGGAGGCCCCTGTGACTCAAAGGAGTAGGGTGCTGGCCCCATATGCTGGAGGTGACAGGTTCAAACCCAGCCCTGGCCAAAAACTGCAAAAAAAAAGTACTTTTAGCAGGGGCAAGCTCTCATGCTCTGAGGCTTTCACTTTTGGAAATGGAAGCTAATTGCAATAAATAGAACCGGTGACGGAGTAAAGCAGGGAGGTCCTGGGCTGCAGGCAAGCCTGTGGACGGCTTTGTGTGGTCCTTACTTCCTGTTTGTCCTTCTTGCTTGAAATTCATTCCCAAAGAGGAGATCAGACCTCATTTGATTGATGATGTTTAGTTTTTTATAGGGCATAGTTGAAAAAGAAAATTCTACAACACTATAGGTGGTTTTTTTTTTTTT